ATGGGGTTTCACCATGTTAGCCAGGCTGGTCTCCAAATCCTGACCTCAGGTGATTCCACCTGGGCCTCCCAAAGTGTTCAGAATACAGGCGTGAGCCACCGTGTCCGGCCTGTTTCCTTGAGTTTTGTGAGCCACTCTGGTAAATTAGCTGAATCCATGGAGGGAGTCCTGGGAACCCCCAACACAAAACCAGTTGGTCAGAAGCACGGGTCATAATTTGGAACCTGTTATTGGCATTGGAAGTGGGGGCAGTATTGTGGGATTGAGCCCTTAACCTGTGGAGTTTGCCTTAACTCTGGTTAATGCCAGAATGGAGTAAAATTATAGGTTATCCTGGCCTGGTGCGGTGGCTCACATCTATAACCCCAGCACTTTGGGAGGCCAAAGTGGGCAGATCACGAGGTCCAGAGATCTGTACCATCCTGGCCAACATGATGAAACCCTGTTTCTACTAAAATACAAAAAATTAGGGCGTGGGAGTACGCACCTGTAGTCCCAGCTATTTGGGAGGCTGAGGCAAGGGAATCACTTGAACCCAGGAGGAAGATATTGCAGTGAGCCGAGATCACACCACTGCACTCCAGCCCGGTGACACAGAGAGACTCCGTCTCAAAAAAAAAAAAAAAAAAAAAAAAAAAAAAAAAAAAAAAAAAAAAAAAAAAAGAGAAAGAAAGAAAGAAATTATAGGGTATCCTGTTGGTGTCTGCTTTAGAATTGGTTGTTGGTGGGTAGAAACTCCCCCACACACTGGTGGAGTACAATTGACCCTTGAACAACATGGGTCTGAACTGCAAAGGTCCACTTATACACGGATTTTTTCTTCAATCAAATAAGGATTAAAAAGACAGGATTCTCAGGATGCAAAAACCCAAGTATAGGGTGGGCTGACTTTTCATATACACAGTAGAGATGTGGGATTTTAGTATGATTGGGTGTTGGTATCTGAGGGGCTCCTGGAATGAATCCCCTTCCTCTACCCAGAAAGGACTGTACTCTGTGTTGAGTGGTGACTGGTGTGTAAGAGTAGGAAAAGCTCTGTTTTTTCCTAAGTTTTCTAAATTTTTAGTCCCGGGGCACAGAGTGGTGGTTCATGCCTGTAATCACAGCACTTTGGGAGGCCAAAGTATGCGGATTACTTAAGGTTAGTAGTTCAAGACCAGCCTGGGCAATATGGCAAAACCCTGTCTCTACTAAAAATATAAAAATTACCTGGGCGCAGTGGTGGGCACCTATAAGCCCAGCTACTCTGGAGGCTGAGGCAGGAGAATCGCTTGAACCTGGGAGGTAGAGGTTGCAGGGAGCCAAGATCATGCCACTGCATTCCAGCCTGGGCAACAGAGCAAGACTCCATCTCAAAAAAAATAAATAAATAAATTGGCCAGGTGCGGTGCCTCACACCTGTAATCCTAGCACTTAGGGAGGCCAAGGAGGGTGGATCACGAGGTCAAGAAATTGAGACCATCCTGGCCAACATGGTGAAACCCTGTCTCTACTAAAAACACAAAAATTAACTTGGCGTGGCGGTGCACGCCTGTAGTCCCAGCTACTCAGGAGGCTGAGGCAGGAGAATCGCTTGAACCCAGGAAGTGGAGGTTGCAGTTAGTGGAGACCACACCACTGCACTTCAGACTGGAAACAGAGAGAGACTCTGTCTCAAAAAAGAAAAAAAAAAATTAGCCGGGCATGATGGCAGGCACCTGTAATCTCAGCTACTCGGGAGACTGAGGCAGGAGAATCGCTTGAACCTGGGAGACAGAGGTTGCATGAGCCGAGATCATGCCACTGCACTCTAGCCTGGATGACAGAGTGAGACTCTGTCTCAAAAATAAAAATAAAACAAATAAATTATTAGCCCTGTCTCTCAACAGTCCTAAATAAGTATCAAAGGGCAGTATCATCCCATTTAAACTTATTAAGTGTCTTTTATATACTGGGTATATACTAGGCAGTGGAAATATAAAGATTAAGATAAGACCCTGCCCTCAAGTTGCTCAGTCTTAGCACGTTGTAACTAGAAGCATTTTTCACTTTTCTGCTGGAACTCTGTCTGGCAGGTCAAAGCTTTTGAAAACCAATGGAATGGATGTTTTCATGAATATCCATAATTATCCTATTCAGAGACAAGGAAATTAATGACATCAACTGCTTTTCTAAGCAGCAGTCTGAGCAGTTTCTGCCTTTGTCCCTAGAAAAACTACGAGGCACAATGAAACTCTACTAAGTGAATTAGATGTGAAGAACTAACCTATTAGAATGTGATCATTCAGAGCCCGAGGGATGCTACATAAAGGAGAGTAACATTCAAAGACAAAATGCTTAGAGAAGAATGTGTATGTAGTTCATTATTTGAGTTGGCTGATTGTGTTGACATTTTCTTAGGAGTAGGTGGGTGGGGAGTGAAAATCTGGAAAAAAAGCATTTTATTTTGAACACATTGTATTTTTTCTTGTGAACATAAGAAAAATATTTTATTCAATAGCAATACTGGTCTCGCATAAATGAAGTTCTACTTTTTATATCAGTTAAGTTCTTTGTAAATCTGACACAGTCACTTAATACCAACTTTAAAATGGACATTGTTAAGTATGATTCAGTTAGGTCTTCAGATAACTATAACAATAGGCTATAACCAAAACTTCGTATTAAGTGAAGGCAAACTTGGCTGGGTGTGGTGGCTCACACCTGTAATCCCAGCACTTTGGGAGGCTGAGGCAGGTGGATCACTTTTTTTTTTTTTTTTTTTTTTTTGAAACTTGAGTTTCACTCTTTCACCCAGGCTGGAGTGTAGTGGCCCAATCTAGGCTCCTTGCAAACTCTGCCTCCCTGCAACCTCTGCATCCCAGGTTCAGGCGATTTTCCTGCCTCAGCCTCCATAGTAGCTGGGATTACAGGTGCCCACCACCACGCTGGGTTAATTTTTGTATTTTTAGTAGAGACGGGGTTTCACCATATTGGCCAGTCTGGTCTCATACCCCTGACCTCAAGCGATCCTCCTGCCTAAACCCTGCAAAATGCTGGGATTACCAGCATGAGCCACTGTGCCCAGACTATTTATTTCAGTAGGTTTTTGGGGAACAAGTGGTGTTTGGTTACGTGAATAAGCTCTTTAGGGGTGATTTCTGAGTTTTGGTGCACTCATCACCCAAGCAGTGTACACTGTACCCAGTGTGTAGTCTTTCATTCTTCACCCCACTCCCACCCTTCCCCTGAGTCCCCAAAGTCCATAATTCCCCCAAGTTTTCAGAGAGCATGGACCACAAACTTGATGAGAAACTTAAAACCAGTCTCCAGGTGTTTTTTTTTTTTTTTTTTTTTTTTGAGATAGAGTTTTGCTCTTGTTGCCCAGGCTGGAGTGCAATGACACGATCTCGGCTCACTGCAACCTCTGCCTCCTGGGTTCAAGCGATTCTCCTACCTCAGCCTCCCAAGTAGCTGGAATTACAGGCATGTGCCACCACAGCCAGCTAATTTTTATATTTTTAGTAGAGACGGGGTTTCACCATGTTGGCCAGGTTGGTCTCGAACTCCTGACCTCATGTCATCCACCCGGCTCAGTCTCCCAAAGTGTTGGCATTACAGGCGTAAGCCACTGCGCCCCGCCAGTATTTCTTTAATCCATAAAGCTTGCTAGTTTAATATTAAATTCAAATTACTGTAGCCTAGAACTTTTGAAGATACCTGACAGCTTCATTTTTCACCTATCTCATTAGGCTGAGTTCTCTTTTACAATACAGATGTTTAAAATTAAAATACAGATCTAGATCTAGATTTTGTTAAGGTTTTGGTGTTTTTTTCAAACAGCCTAAGGTTGTTCAGAAGCATCTATTCTATGTATGTACTTCCTTTACTCTGTAATTTGCAGTCAGATTAGTTGCACCCTGTCTAGACTCCTTTCAGAAAAATACTAACAATATGTTTTTCTCTGTCTTGGGCTCCACATGAGTGAATTACAGGAAAACTTAACAGGTACTCAGAGCAACATTTTTTTCCTACTACATGAAGGACCTAAATGCGAACTCTAGGTATTCCTCTTTTGCTTTTGTTCTTTTCCCAGATTTACCTAATTTCAATCTAATAAGTGTAAGATGCAGTCAATGAAAAGTATTATGTGGAAATTCTTAAGCAAATCAGACCTTTAAAAAGGAAACCACTTCACCTAATATAGTGCGTAAGAAAGGAAGCTGGACTCACCAAAACAATCCTATTAGTTAGGTACAGCCGGATACACCGTGGAATAAGGCAATTCTCTGTTTAATTTGCAAACTCTCTCACCGGGAGGAGGAAAGGATGGAAAAGTTTGAGTGAAGACTTTAAATGACTACTCAAACAAACAGTGAGTCATTGAAAGTTTCCAGTTAACAATCCCTTCTGCCTGGGCCCCAGCGCTTTATGAGCCAGACTGCAGTTTTAAGTTGGAACATCTCACGCTTTTATTGTCTCTTCCACCAAATGATTACATAAAATGAAATCAGTTTTGAAATCTGCACCGGCTTTGAAATGTAGGGCAAAATCTGGTTGGGGGTGGGAGAAAATAAGGTAGGGAGACCGTGAGTCAGAGAACGCAGGAAAGCTGGTGAAAAGAGAGGGAGAGGAATTTTCAGGAGATGAGTTTTTCTTCCCCACGTTATAGATGCTGTCCGTTTTTGCGCATCTGTGTCCCCACAGGCCGGAGTGGACCCCTCCTTGGGCTAAAAGACTCTGTCTTCGGCCCAGCCCAGAGCTGCACCAACCAGGGCCTGCCCCTGCCCCCACCCAGTGACAGGTGGGGCCGCCGAGCGGCCACCAGACGTCAGCCTCCTCGTGTGGCCTGCTGGGAGCCGGAGCCGCTTCCGGTTGCGCCCAGTCCCTGAACTCGGACTCCCGTCGGCCCCCGGGAAAACCGCAGCGGTGTCGCTCGCTCACTGCCGGAACTTGTAGTTCCGCCTCCCGCCGCGCTAAATAGCCGGAAACGGGGGTGGCCAGAGCGAAGAACTACCGAGGCGAAGGTACGGGTGGCGGCGCGGGGTCAATCCGCGCCGGGCGTGGGGTTGGCGGTGAGACTGTTGGAGGTGGTTGGGTGGGAGGGGATCCGCTTGCACACACGAGGAGGAGGGTTGAGCCGCCGTCGCCGTCGCCGCCGACTCCATCGTCGTCGCGAGTGTGGAGTCGGGTCTGGAGCTGCCGCCGCGGCGACACCGGGGATCTAGTCGCTAGCCCCCGGCCTTTCTCCTCCGCCACCTTCCCTTGGTCTGCGCGGCCGACTCCTCCCCGGCCGGGCGCCCCTGCCTCCATTTCCCGCTCTCTGTCCACCACACACACGGCCCCCCCGATCATGGATCCTGGCAGTGGAGGCGGCGGCGGCGGCGGCGGCGGGAGTAGCGGCAGCAGCAGCGACTCGGCCCCCGACTGCTGGGACCAGGCGGACATGGAAGCCCCCGGGCCGGGTCCTTGCGGCGGCGGCGGCGGCTCCCTGGCGGCGGTGACCGAGGCCCAGCGGGAGCCGCTCACCACGGCCTTTAGCCGGCAACTCAACGTCAACGCCAAGCCCTTCGTGCCCAACGTCCATGCCGCCGAGTTCGTGCCGTCCTTCCTGCGGGGCCCGGCAGCGCCGCCACCCACAGCTGGCGCCGCCGCCACCAACCACGGAGCCGGCAGCGGCGCAGGAGGGCCTGCAGGTAAAGGCCCGGGACGCGGGGCAGCCCCAGGGACCCGGGAGGTGGCCGGGCCGGACGCCGGAGCCCAATGGGGAGGGGTGCGGCCCTGGGGCGCGCGGCCCTGGGACTCGACCGGCACGTGGGGCGCTGACAGTGGCGCCGGCCGCCTGGGTGGGGCGCCCCAAGCCCGGGAGCCGGCCTGCGCGGGGTGGCACGGCGGTGGCCAAGCAGGGAGCTGGCAGCGGGCAAACGCGACTAAAGACCCGGACCTGAGTGCTGCCCCTCTGCGCCCCTGCCCTGCCCTGGGGTCCGCAGTTACCCCCTTGAGATGAGAACCGTATGGGACAGAGTGGGGGCCGCGGCGGATCAGTGCCACGAGGCGCAGAAGTGAGGACAGGACAGATGGAGCCAGGAGTCAGTAGGGTGGGCGTTTAGAGATCGTAGGAGTTGTGGAGGACAAATGCCCGAGTTTTCCATTCACCTTAGACCCAGCGGAGAGAGCGTCTCTTGCTGCAGTTTCTACTATAGAAACTGTAATTAGGTTTTAAATTATCCATGGCCCTGAACCATCCGGAAGGAATCCCAAGATGCATTGCAGCCTTGTGATCGGGCAGAAACTTGGCTATCAATACCAAGATCTGTTTTACCCTTAGCCTTGTGTACGCTTCTAAAGTTTACGAAGTGCTGCAAAGTTAGGATTCCTCACTTAATGTGTGATAGGAGACCATATTGATTTGTGTCTTTTTATAGTGAGGCTTAGACTTTTCTCCTTTGTCAGCGACATGTTTCGAGAATTTTCATTGCTGTAAAATCGTTGACCTTATTCAGATTGCTTGGAATAACTCCCTGTGTTCGTGTGTCAGTAATCCAGTCTGTTTGTTCAGACACTTGCGCATTTGTTATAATTTAATAGTTGTCACGTGTCTTTCTGACTCTAGCCAGTAGACACACATTCTGTGATTTTTAGTCGTTTGGTTTTCAAACATCTTCCAGTACTTAGGGGCTGCTGAAGTGGTAGATTGCAGGTGCTGACGTAGGAATGTCAAATGAGTGAACTTAAGTATTCTCATAATGATGCTTATTTTGTGGTAGATAGCATGCTTTTAGGTATACTGATTTTGTAGGAATGTCAAAGTATTTTCTTCCTAATGGTGCTTATTTTAGGAACTATCAATATTTCCTTAAAGAGGCAATGAAAAAGGAAGAAAGGCTGAATGTCCTTTCATCATTTAGCCAGGACGCTGGTGGGCTGTATCATGACTTTCAGCACATTTTAAGAGGGAGCATATTGTTGATTTCTCTCTTTAAAAGTTCTGTATTGTGGTATTTCTTAGATAAGTGGACATTATAAGAGTGTTTTAGGAGTTTGGTTTCTAGAGAAACTTTTGTCACCGTTTGCTCTTTTGAGGTAAAAGGATAGAGTTTGGAGAAAAACTCTTATGACATATGTATGTCAACACAGTGGATTTGGTGGTTTTATTGTCTACGGCGTTTCTTTTATTTGTGTGGGTGGTTGATGTTTTCCTTTTGAGGAGATTGAGCTCGTTCAGGGTGGTTCAGGGTGGTATGGCCATAGTCGATGTTTTCCTTTTAAATAAGGAAGCTTAGCTTGTAATTCTTGACTTACATCAAGCCATTTTGACTGTCTAACCTAGTTCACTTATCAGCTCCTAAAAGTGCCCATTTCTCTACCTCATCTTACAGATTCCGTTTATCCAGCCATTTTCTTTCTGGCTCTTGTTTTGGTAAAACCACCAGCACCACTCTGACTAGACTTAGGACTCCACTTACAGCCTGTCCAGCTAGTCATCCAGGGATAACCATCCTTGGTCTGGAATGTTCACTGTTGAGTGACTAGGTATTACCTCTCATGCAGGTTTTTCTCTTCCTGATAGTTGCTAATTTGTAGTTACATTAATCTTTTTTTCTTTGACACTGCTAGAAGTTGGAGGTATGAAAACCTGTAGGGAAGTAGCTGTCAGAAAATCCCTATATCATGGTCAGCTTTTTTGTTTTTAATCAAAAAACTGTTTTGGTGTTACTGACTTCACCAGTTGCTTCTACCAAAATGCCAGTTAATGTTTTTAAAAATTATATGTAGGATGGGAAAGAACTGATTTTCTTTTTTTTTTTTTTTTTTTTTTTTTTTCCTGTTTTGTTTTTTCGAGACAGAGTCTTGCATTGTTGCCTGGGCTGGAGTGCAATGGCGCATTCTCAGCTCACTGCAACCTCTGCCTCCCAGGTTCAAGCGATTCTCCTGCCTCAGTCTCCCAAGTAGCTGGGATTACAGGCACCTGCCACCGCATCTAGCTAATTTTTTTTTTGTATTTTTAGTAGAGACAGTGTTTCACTATGTTAGCCAGGCTGGTCCCAAACTCCTGACCTTGTGATCCACCTGCCTCTGCCTCTCAAAGTGCTGGGATTACAGGCGTGAGCCACAGCTCCAGGTTCAAGCGATTCTCCTGCCTCAGTCTCCTGAGTAGCTGGGATTACAGGCACCTGCCACCACATCTAGCTAATTTTTTTTTTGTATTTTTAGTAGAGACAGTGTTTCACTATGTTAGCCAGGCTGGTCCCAAACTCCTGACCTTGTGATCCACCTGCCTCCGCTTCTCAAAGTGCTGGGATTACAGGCGTGAGCCACAGCTCCAGGCCACTTAGTTATTTTTTTTTTGTTAGATGAGAAACTGGGTTAGTGATTTTAGGGTTACTTGGACTTTTTAGAACAGCCGCGGCTTCTAAATAATGGTGTAGTGTTCTTTGCATCATCCCATCTTTAATGCCTCTCAAAACTCTATTCCATTAAGAAATAAGTATGGAATAAAACCAGCAGGTCTCAGTTCTAACTCAGAGGAGGCCATGGTGCCTGGCCGTTTTTTTTTTTTTTAAATGATTGAGATATAACTCACACACTGTAAAATTCACCCTTTTCAACAGTACAAGCTGGGCGAATTGGCTCACACCTATAATCCCAGCACTCTGGGATGTCGAGGCAGGGGGACTGCCTGAGGCCTCCACAAAACATAGTGAGACTGAGACTCTGTCTCCACAAAAAAATAAAGTATTGCTGGGCGAGGTGTCTCACACCTATAATCCCAGCACTTTGGGAGGCTGAGGTAGACAGATCACCTGAGGTCAGGAGTTCAAGACCAGCCTAGCCAAAATGGTGAAATCCATGTCTACTAAAAATATAAAAATTAGCTAGGTGTGGTGGCAGGCGCCTGTAATCCTAGCTACTTGGGAGGCTGAGGTGGAAGAATCGCTTGAACCTGGGAGGCGGAGGTTGTATTGAGTGTAGATTACACCACTGCACTCCAGCGTGGGCGACAGAGTGAGACTCTGCCTCAAAATAAAATAAAATAAATAGCTGGGTGTGGTGACACAAACCTGTACTCCTAGCTACTTGGGAGGCTGAAGTGGGAGGATCTCTTGAGCCCAGGAGTTAGAGGCTGCAGTGAGCTATGATCACACCACTGCATTCAGCCTGGGTGACCAAATAAGACACTGTCCAAAAAGAAAACCTAAAGTGTACAGTTCAGTGGTTTTTAGTGTATTTATAAGGTTATGCAACCATCACCACTTGGCAGATGCTTTTTAGAATATTCTCAGAAGTGACCTCTTCAGGGCCACCAGAGTAGAGAGGACCCCAAATCAAAGTAATGATTGTTTAATCCAGAAGGGCCCTAACACTTTATTATTATGTTAAGTTATATGTATTGAGGACTAGATGATAGGTAAGATTGTTTATTTGAGAATCTGTTTTTCTTTGAGACTCAAGTGCCTGCAATAACAATGCTCATATATGCTGGGAGTGGTGGCTCATGCCTGTAATCCCAGCATTTTGGGAGGCCGAGGCGGGTGGATCACGAGGTCAGGATTTCAAGACCAGCCTGGTCAATATGGTGAAACTCCATCTCTACTAAAAATACAAAAATTAGCCGGGCGTGGTGACACACGCCTATAGTCCCATCTATTTGGGAGGCGGAGGTTGCAGTGAGCCGAGATCGCGCCATTGCACTCCAGCCTGGTGACAGAGCAAGGCTCCGTCTCAAAAACCCACAAGAAACATGCTCATATAAAGGTGTTTAGGCTTCAGTGGGACAGTAGATGGGGTAGAGGAGAGGCCCTATAATATCCCTGGAGTATCACAGTAGTATTTCAGTGCCTTTTGTTACTTCTCCTGCCTTGGCTGACCTTTTTGGCTCTTGTTTCATGATTTTACAAGTATGAATGGCTTGAGAGTGAGGATTTAGGGAACAAGCAAAGGCATCATCTAGGGCTATGCTGTGCCAAGTTGAGCAGTTGTTTAAAATGTTAGAAATTTTGACTGGAATAAACCCTCTTTAGAGCAGGTTTTATACAATGTGATTAGTACATGTCTTATTTCATTTTTCTGTTCTTTTTTTTTTTTTTAAACCTTTTCTGAAGTTGTACTGCATGAAAAGACAGCAATTTCAGTTTATCAGGACAAGTTAAGGAAGTAATGCAGAGGACAGACTTTAAGCCTTGATTTGCTTGCTTTGTTTCGCTGGGGAAGAAGCGTCTGAAAGTGTTTAGATAGTAGTCTTTCTGGTTGAAGAGAAAGGAATGAAAAAGAGATTTGATAACCTGGGTTGAGTTAGGAGTATTAGAGTGGAATTTTTTTTTCAGAAATGCAGATTTTTAGTTTTGCTCAGATATGTGTACTAGCAACTAATTAACATTTACCCGTCCACTGAATGTAAGATGCTGTGCTGGGCACTTGAAATAACACCAAGATGAATAAATTGTGGTCCTGAAGGAATCTAGGAAGGGATCAGATGCCCACTGTAGTCTAGTGAAAGTCACAGCGTGGTAAGCAGGCCCTACAGAGAGTGTAGAGAGGGCGTTCAAAGCTAAGAACAGCAGTTCCTTATGTAAAACATTTCAGCCTTGTCACTCTAATAAAACTAAAGATTTATCTGTTATCTGCTCACTGTTCTTTGTGAATGCCGTGTGTGTGTGTGTGTGTGTGTGTGTGTGTGTGTGTGTGTGTGTGTTTC